GCTTCCTTTAGAAATGGAAGGCAGCCGCCTGGTTAAATTATTGCTGTTTTCTGTTAAAATAACCCCAAGTTAGGCTTATGGCCTGTTTAGGGCCTTTCTGAGCTGTAGCAAGTGACAGACTCTCCCCTTAGTGAGTTTTCAACACTAACTTTTACATATAATTTTAGGGGTTCACGGGCTCATTAAAGTCCATCCATGGCATCCATGGTGTAACCCTATGTTAGAACTGCCGCCTCAAGGAAGTTACAGAATACCCAAGAACTTTTATTGCCTTCGTTTAATGCTTTCACAGCCTCATGAGTATTTATGATGCTTGATTCGTTCAGTATGGTATTACCCAAAGGTAGCTAACGGCAGCTGTGCCGGGCTTTTCTAATTGCAGATAAGTAAGAATGTTGTTATAAAATAGCAGACCCTCTGGCCACTTAAACTTTGTCTTTATGTCATTCGCCTGGAAATGTCCGCATTTGTAACAGTGAGCAACAGACACGCTTCACAGACTGGAGACCCTACACTGAAGTCAGAAACTGCTGCGGGTTTGTGGGATGCGATCTGATGTCCTAATGGGGCATTCAGGGTGCTGCTGGCCAGCTGGCCTCAGCCCACCTCTCCAGGGTTAGCCGGCTAATCCCCGCTCGTCAAAGGCTTTACTAAACATCTCACACACGTTAGTTATTTCTCTACACAGATCACCAGCTGAATCCAGGGAGTTTTGCGCCCTTGGGGGTCCCCTGTTCCTTCAGTTTCCCGTCTCGTGTCTCTGGTACCCAGCTCAGGGCCTTCCTGCCTTTATGCAACGCTCCCCAGACATCCCAGCCCCTGGGGATGCCCCGCTCCCTCTCCTGCAGTAGCAGCATCGCCCCCAGACAAGAGCAACATGGTGTTTGCTCTTTTAAAAACAGTTTTGTTTCCTCTGATGAGTCTTAGCCCCTTACTACAGAGACGGTGTTTCTGTGACTGTGCACCTGCGTGTGGTAGATGAGGACCAAATACTTACAAGAACGTGCTCCATTTACCCAAGTGGGAAGCACCCTCTGTAATTCAACAGGATGGAGGGGAGGGGCAAGTAGAAGTGGGGGCTGGGGGCCATGGAGCTCCACGCCCTGCCCTGCTTGAAGTGGTGGCGCAGGTGACTGGCGGCCATAGGGGCCCGGCGACGGGCCGTCCTCAGCACCGAGGCCTGAGACAGGAACTGCGTCTCGGAAGTGGCTGCGGCCACCCCCTTCCTAAGATGCCCGTTTGGACTCTTGGGAGACGTGTTGGGAGAGCAGGGCACTGGGTGCTGAGATCTGAGGCTCTTCTTGGTGGAGCTTGGTCTCTGCCACCCTGGCCGCTGCGAACGTGTGGGCAGTGTTAGCTGCTCGCCCCTCCCCAGTGCTGCCCGAGGCGCAGGAGCAGCGGTGGCGGCCAGGGAGGCTGGCAGTGCGCTCTCTGGCGCGGGGCGAGGGAGCTTGTCCCCTTGGATCTGCGCTTCGCCCCAATTTTAAGTCAGATTCGCTTCTCTCCCCTTCTCCAGCAGGATGTGGGCAATGGCTTCCGAGTGAGAAAACCGAAACATCTGGGTTCCTTTGTGAAAGGTGCTCAGGACTCTCCTGAAGTGACATTTAGGAGGAGGCATTATCAATGCGATTTGATGGGGACACTGTTCCCTTTAGTGCTGGGTCCCTGTTAGGGACTCTGGTTGGTTGAGGGCTTGGAAACTGCTCCTAAACTCCTCCGTGAAATGCAGGCGGGAGCAGGTGAGGGCTGGCTCTTCTCGGGTCTAAAGTTACCAGAAAAGGAGAGCACCTTGAAGTCCATAAAAAAAATCGGGGCACATTATGGTTGAATGAACACTTACAGACAGCGAACTCTATAACCAAAAAGTCAGATGACGACAAGTGTCGGCGAGGGGGTGAAGACATCAGATCAGAGCCTTTGGACACAGCTGGTGAGGATGTAAAACGATGCA